AAGCGAATTTCCAGCCCCCATAACTTTTTAAGGAAAACCATTTAGCAGTTTTAATTTCCATTTTCGTAAATAGCATTCAAAACTCTATCGATTTATCTGGGTCTACATTCAAAGTCCCACGGTAAGTAGACTACCCCTCCCTGGTAAGTCAAAAAGTAATGTAATTCCATTTGAAAACAATTTGAATTTTCAGAACAAAATTCCTACTGACAATCGCTTCCAAAATCTTGTAAAGTTTCATCTCATCTTTGCAGTCGGGCTGTTCCACCGACATATACCTTTGCATCTCCCTCTCCCTCCCCCATTGCGCGACAGCCACGACTCTCCCAGATCTTGTGTAGTGGTAGAGGACCCAGCGGTGCTTACATTTCGAGGGTGGAGACATATGAAGCTTGTATACTATCGCAATGGCGGGTGATTCAGGACCCGAGATTGTTTCAATCGTTATTAGAGAGAGACAAAAAGTCTTAGGCTAACATAGAAGAGAAGACGAACAAACAACAATTGGTTCGTTTCGCCTCTTAATCATATGAACCAAAGTCAGTCATCACCCGAGGCATCTTCTGTGATTAAGTGATGACTACAAAAGTGGTGTTGATATCGATATTATGTCTAATCACCCAGTTTACGCCAAGCTTCCCTCCTCCCCTTTACCAAGTCAGAACGCACGTTCGACTATCCTTCCTCTTTTCCGAAGCATTAACCTATGTCTCACTACACTGCAAATTCTTGACGCGGCGCATGCGCTTACTGCATACACTTTAGGGATCTATCTTTTGCCTTTGAGCTTAACAACAGTTATCCAATACGACCTTTCTTTATTGGGTCTAGTGGCGTACCTTGAATTGGGCAACCAGACTGACCAACTGAAGGCTTGAACGAGACCGCTATATTCATAGCCCTTATTATCTTCATGAGTAAAGATCATTGGTCGAGGTTTTCAGGTTCAACTAGACAGACAAGTTTTGTGGTAAGTAATATTAACGAGAAGGTGGGTCCGTCATTTAGTCGCAAACCTTACGGCGTAGACTTTGTGATCTGATGGCAAGGAAAAAGCTAACCTACTTCTAGTAATCATTTTAATCGGTCCTATTCACTAAAATAGAACATTTTTTATTTTATAAGATCTTAATAAAACCTGCTGCCAAGATGGTAAATAAATTCTATTTCCAATGGTTACCCTCTAGCTCCTAAAAACAGTTATGGATCATGTAAAAAGGAACAACGTGGCCCCGTCAACGATAGTTT